CGCATAGTCACATCAAAATTTTCATCAGACCATGAAACGTTTGTACAAATTTTTCATCTTTCTTGCAGTCTTGAAAACAAAATTTATATGCGGGTATGTAGAAAAAATATCAGAGTTCAATGTGGTATAATTTTTTATCATGTTTTATTTACGTATACGAAGTATTTTGCGTTCTGCCGAAGTGGTATATTCGTCAGTTGAGATATAGTTGCCAACCTTAGGTATAATCTATATATATCAACACTGCTTTTCAAATTGAGTGCTTGCGGCGCGCGACAAATGACAAAGGAATGGGGCGAGCTTAATGCAAATTGACATTTGGAAGCATTATTGGTGCATTCTACACGCCGTTTTGGGCTGCCTATGGTTTGAATATAAATTAGACCATATGGGCTTAGTAAAAAAATATTTTAATAACTACGTTTCGGAGTATAACTCCACCTTCAGGTTAAAAGTGAATAAAGATATAAAAACTGTGATAAAAACTTTCAAAACAATTACAAATTTTACATGTAAGTGATTTTTAATACTGTAAGAAAGTTCTTGAACAGTTGATGACGAAGACGATGACGAATACTTATGTCGTGATTTTTTTTTGTCGGCTTCACTTTTCGCTCGCTGTTATCATTCCAGATATATATATATAGAGTTCACTGCTCGGCAGCTCTGTCGGCAGGCGCTCTCGCCTGCAACCCGCATTTTCCGAACCTGCCCGAAATGCTCCCTAAGCGCCTGCGGAGGAGGTAGGTTTACAACGGTCAGTTACGTCTCTGTATGTCTTATCTACTCTGTGACTATAGTGTACATTACATGACGTAGCACGGAAAGGCGGAGCGAGAAAGAGACTTGTCAACTTCGGAAAATCTCGGTTTAAAACTGAACCGAAAATGCAAGACTTGCTTTAATGTTTTCCTTCAATTTCTTTCTGTATTATTGACTTTTATGGAACTCATGTTATTTACACTGTGCTAGATCAATACATATAAACACTGACAGAAAACAATTAAAGCAAGTCTTGCATTTTCGGTTCAGTTTTGAACCGAGATTTTCCGAAGTTGAGAAGTCTCTCTTTCTCGCTACGCCCCTCCGTACTACGTCATGTAATGTACACTATAGTGGATCGATACTATATGACAATGAAAGAGAGACTTGGAGCGAGTCTATGCTTGAAGCCGTCGCGTTATTTCAGCTGCATGCTGACGCCATCGGCGTGCAATAATACGTTTTTGGACCGACGTTCGGTCATTGAGTTTTGCAATGTACGGTGTTATTGTTTGGCAACCTTAATTCCTCTCTGACCTTATCCTTGCATTGCGCCCAATAGACCTTTCCGGTAATTACGTCACGACTAAAGCCGGTTTTCCACTTCAAGCGTACCGTACCGAAACGTATCAAATAGACAAAAACGTTTTTAAATTTCGTAATACGCCAAAAAGTTGACTTGCGACGAACTTTTCATTTTGATACGCGAATACACCCGGAAGTACGTGGATTTATAAACCTCTTTTCAATCTGCGCATGTTCACCAGGACGTTTCGGTACGATACGGGCGAAGTGGAAAATCGGCTTAAGTTAACACTGTTTTCAACTTAGGACCACCTTAAAATTAAATGGAATGGATTTTAAGTTTGTTTCTCACGGGCTATGGTCAGAGGAGCAGAACTTCCTTCTTCAATACATGCACGATAGACCCTATGTCCCTATCAACAAACTGATACAGTTCTGTGGCAAGAACAGTCACGCAATAACCGCGTACAAACAAATTTGGCATTGCGCAGGGTGTCCCAAAAAAAATGCACCCTGTCATATTTGGTGGTATTATTTCGCTATATTTAATCAAAGGTTCAAATTTTTTGCAGTGGGTTGAAAAACAATCATATTATATTAATCGTAGTATTTATCTCACTAAAATACTTAACCGTTCGGCTTCTAGAGATACTTTTAAGGTGGCGACACCAATTTTGCAACCCGTCCAAATTACAGTAATTAGGTTAAAAATAATGCAAACTTTGTAGAAGGATTTCTAATGTTTCTACCCACCTTTTTGCTCAAAAACAAAATGTTTTTTTATCTCTATTATTAAACTTCTGTTTCTTGTAGAAATTAATAAAAAAAGATGAAAAATCCCTGGCAAATTGACAAAGGCAAAGCTAAGGTTGGGGAAATGCCTTAAATTTGCTGTTTTCCGTTCAATTTGTTCCATGAAAGAGCAAATGTTGGGATTTCGGCACTAGTCTTTCCCCTTTTCTGGGGATTGCTTCATTATTTTTACAGAAAATTAATTTGCGATTTTGGCTACAACTAATTACAAGTTTTAGAAAAGATATGTAGCCATTTACCATTAAAATATTTTATGACGTTCCGACCCTAATATCCTCAATTTTAAGTAACTCTAGAAGGCGAACGGTTAAATATTTTGGTGCGAAAAAATGCAACGATTAACGTAATATGTTCATTGATAAAAAAATGAAAAAAATTGAATATTCGACAGGTAACGATGTAGTACCACAAAATATGATAGGAGGTATTTTTTTGGGGACACCCTGTAGATTTGTGAACAAAATCGGCGAAAGTGTTTCAACTTAGGACCACCTTAAAATTAAATGGACCACCTTAAAATTAAACACTTTCGCCGATTCTGTTTACACAATCTACAATGCCAAATTTGTTTGTACGTGACTTTATTGCGTGACTGTTCTTGCCACAGACTGTATCATGCAGTTTGTTGATAGGGACATAGGGTCTATCGTGTCTAAGAGTCTAATTGGTCTTGACACATTGTTCCATGGTTTGCATATGTGCATTCAAAATTTAAAACAAGTTTATCGAGTCTATCAACTACGGCAACAGATAGCTAGACAAGCATGAACATGAACGTGGTGATTCTGATGGTACCGGCAGGTACCGTGGTATGGGAACGAGGTCGATTTTTTGACGTACGTCCAAACAGACCACCCCTTCCCCCACGGGACAAAAGCACTGAGGACAAAAGATACAACATTTTTTCTGAAACTTCCGTAATATTTTACTTTCAATAATAAAAATTTCTGCATATATAAAAAATGTTGCATTACAGCGAAATATTAAACTATAAAGCTTTTCTACGCGCAACCTGCTATATCGACTTACCCCACTCGGGGTTGTCAATTTTGCCACGTGTATTGAATTTCAATATCCCACGAGATAACATTGTTGATTTGTTGAATATGTTGATTTTCATTTGATCAAAACAATACATCCAGTATTCAGGTTTGCAACACTGCACAACATAGCACTGCTATCAGTGTGCTTTTTTCTCCTGTGTGCTTGAATTATGTCAGCTAAACCTATTTACGAGGAAGACGCGAAGAGATTGTTGTCAAAGTATTTACAGAACACTGATTTTGTAAAATGTCAGAACGCTTTGGTAACTGAAAGCCAGCAATGGGATGATGTGATCAGCAAAAATGAATGGCTTAATACTCAGGTTAGTATATGCAAAATGCTTGTTGTAGCCACTTGTTTGAATAAAATAATGTATATAATAAAAATAAATGTAATTCATAATTGTGTAGACTAGAGTTATGTAATTTCATCATTAGGACTATATAGTATATTCTATGTGTCAGGCAGTACCATCCGCATATAACATTATCCAGGCAGGCCTATTATTGTGTAAATAACCTGATTCACAAAATGTAAAACAACGGTCACTCCGAAAATAAACATTTTAATATTCTAACTTTCGACTTGGATTCAGTCATCATCATTGATATATATTGTATAACCTGATTTATATTATAGTTGGATCATCTTTCAATACAATGCAGTGCCGGTCGCCGGCCATTGCCCGGTTAATTGTTCAGTTTGTCCAGCAAATATATATGTTATTGACTGAGTTAGAGGTCCCGACTGTAGGATGTTAGCTCAACTTTGCCTATATCAACAATTAGTATAATTACATAGGTGATTATTGAAAATTCTCCACGCTGATTGGTTGCCGTTAGGTGATTATTACGCGATAATCACCTAAGCGATTTTCAAAATGACGGCCGAAGCCTTTTTGTCAATTAAATGACGAAGAAATGTGTATTTTCTTATTTTTTTTCCAAATAATCACCTATGAAATTATACTAAAACAATTATTCACCTCAGGCTCGGTGATTATCGTGAATAAAAACCTTGACTTGGTCTCGGTTTTTATTCACCGATAATCACCTCGCCTTCGGCAAATAATTGTTAAATAATGGGTCATTCCAGAAAACATCCGTACCACCCCCACGGAGGAAATAGGAAGTTAACCCCCCTACCCCCTTCGGATGTCCTAATACATTTACTATTATCAGAAACAATTTTTTCTCCCCTCCCCCTCCGGACGGCAGAAATTTCCTCCGTGGGGGGAGTATGGATCTTTTCTGGAACAATCCAATATCCTACTGTCTGGAATGAACAAGCTCAGTCAATA